ATAAATCTGGATGTAACTTATTTCATAAAATTCGGCATGATCTTAATTTTACAAAACTTAAGACCTACAGTAAGTGGAAAACATATACTGATTCAGAATGAAGAAACTATAATTTGATGGTAAAAAGATGTACTCCAAGTAGTGAATTACGGTGGTTTCATTTGAAAGCTTTACACAACATCAAGAGTGAATATGTAGTTATCTTCATGTTTTTAAGGTGGTTGTGTACCATCAGCAGCTTGTAAATTATGTAACGAACCAGTTAAAAAAGTTTTACATAATTTATGTAAATTCATATATTTTGTTGATACATGGGAAAAGCTATTCGAATGGATTTGAAATTTTACAGAAGGCAAAATCACCTTAAGTGAAGCACATTCATTGTTTGGCTTTAAGGGTAAATCATGATAACAAAATCACTCCATTACAAATTTAATAGAAAATGTCTAAACTAAGCTATTCAACCTTTCAAAAAGAAATGGTCAGGTGTGTGTGTGTGAGTGTGGTCTAAATAAAAAAAATATAAGTGTGAGTACGTGTATATGTACATGTGTTTGTTGCTAATACATTTACAACAATAACTATAAAGGAAAACTAAGTTTTATGGATAGTCAACTTCTTTATTGCAATGAGTGCGACGTTTCGGTGTAGGTACTAACACCGTTATCAAGCACTTGACTGTCCATAGAACTTAGTTTTCCTTCATCTTCACAACTTCTAAAATGCCTCTCAGAGAAAATAACTATAAATTTGGATTCACACTTTACCTTTCCAACTTCAAAAGATGGAAAAACCAAAAAATAATCATGTATAAAATTAAAATACCTGATTAGCTTAAATACCTAACTGTACTTTGGTACCTGGGGAGGAGGAATTAGGCGATCTGGGAGAACACCTCCTGCACAGTGGATTTGTCAAAAGGCAGTGTTTATGTAAGATTTACTTACGTATGCTGAATACATTTTGTCTTGCCTGTGTAAACACAACGCCCTTCCCTCAAAGGGTTAACTGTCAACCCATTACCTTGATTGTTCATTTTTATCTATCAAACGAATGGTGGACATCGTGCACATAGTTGTCAGGTGTGATATTATTATTATTATTATAGGATATTTATATAGCGCACATATCCACGCACTAGTGCATGCTCAAGGCGCTGGTATTTTTTTCCTCGATCATTGGATGTCAATCTCAACGGCACATCGCATTATCAATCTCAACTCCCTGGGGAGTATACAACTCTTGCAGCCACTAGGCGCACCGAGTTATTGTGGCTTTCCCATCCTTACGAGGTACCCATTCACAGCTGGGTGGACTGTTTATATGTTATGTGACCAACGAGACTATACACCAATGTGAAACTGAAACAGTTACGTGACCAGTTGCGAAACTATCACTAGTTATTACTTCTTTGAGTGGCATTTACAAGATGGTATGATAAACAGGAACGATTTTTCTGTAGATTAACTTCTACACCGAAACGTGGCATCGATTGCAATAAAGACATTGTCTATCCATTATAAAAACGTTCCTGTTCATCACTAGTTACAACGATTTATACATTTTTTGCATATTAGACTGTTAAAAGACACATGGCATAGAACATATTTCTTTGTCAGATGCAGATGAATGGCACATCGTTACTTTATGTGGATATGGATGTATTCATTCCTCGAGCAAGGTAATGGCCTGGTATTATTGCACTAACTTTAGTTAATTTTAATTATAATATTTCTATTTTGTTTTTAGTCATTTGTGTAGCATCCAACACAATCATACCACTCTATTGTTTTCGCCGTGAAGTTCGATGAGACAGACAACATACACAAGGTCGCACTTAATGCGCGTGTGTGAAATATGACTCACGTACGCAATCTATAAAACGTCTAGATATTACAGTCATGTTATAAATTCACTAAACACAGGTTCGAAATGCATGAAACTATAAAAATAAATTACTTAGGATCATAAGACAGAAATATAAAGACGAATATACATTGACTTCGCTTTTTTCAATCCTAACATATTTTACCAGATTAGCAACCCAGTCAAGAATTCTGGGATATCAGCCGGGTACTCGCGGGGGGAAAACAATAACAAAAGCAACAACCAGTCTTGGGGAATTGCTCTGGATCAGTGTCTGTTTAAGTATAGGTTTTATACCGTTGTCAAGCAAGACTGAACTGAAGATATCACACTTGCTTTGCAACGGTATAAGAACCTATACTTAAACGAAATGTCGCATCATAATATAATAAAGACGTTCTCATCCATAAAGTATCTTACCTTTCTTATTATTCATCAACTTCTAAAACGTGACAGAACAGATAATTAGCAAACAGCTTCCAACAATGCGGTCAGTCAGAGACTCAGGGTCAGCCCCACCCGTAAGTTGCCATGGAACTGCGATTTGCCCTCGTTTCATCGGAAGTTGACTCTATTATTTACAGATGATCTAACTTTAATATCACCGACTGCTGCGTTCAGCAGATCACTTAACAAAAGGCCGGGGGTGAAACAGCATCAACGAACATTCACACAGTATTCATCGTGATGTAAATTGTGACTGTATCTGTTTCCTGAACTAGAACTAATGGAGACCGCCTCGTCTGTTTATATCTATCTATCACACAAGGTCGGGATACAGTTGGAATCTCACCTGTGAGATGGGATACGAACACATGGTATCATCACGGCGTGGTTCATACACACAAGGTCGGGGTACAGTTGGAATCTCACCTGTGAGATGGGATACGAACACATGGTATCATCACGGCGTGGTTCATACACACAAGGTCGGGATACAGTTGGAATCTCACCTGTGAGATGGGATACCAACACATGGTATCATCAGACGTGGTTCATACACACAAGGGGCGCTGGGGTAGCCTAGTGGTTAAAGCGTTGGCTCGTCACGCCGAAGACCCGGGTTCGAATTCCCACATGGGTACAATGTGTGAAGCCCATTTCTGGTGTCCCCCGCCGTGATGTTGCTGGAATATTGCTAAAAGCGGCGTAAAACCAAACTCAGTCAGTCAGTCATACACACAAGGTCGGGATACAGTTGGAATCTCACCTGTGAGATGGGATACGAACACATGGTATCATCACGGCGTGGTTCATACACACAAGGTCGGGGTACAGTTGGAATCGTGCAATGGTCGCTGACACCACTTTCACTGTGGTACCAGTGTAATGTGCCGTTAGCACGTATAAAACATAACATGACATGTCAGCAGACTGTCGATAGACCATCCGGCATCAATCGTCATTGGTGTGTTTCATAACGACTTTTCACCTTCAAATTGTCCACTGCGGATTCCGGGTTAAAATTACCCAGATTGAGTGCGACTTTTACCGAACAATCTAGCAAACCCAAAACCCCACAAAAAACAACAAACAAACGATCCCCAAAACAAAACAAAATAGAAATCAACAATAAAAATGAAAAAAAACCAAAAACAAAACACAAAAAGAGAACAAAAACAAAATAAATGTATTGTCAACAGCAAACGATATTATCATTCACTGCTGGCCTTCCTAATCTTGGAGATAACAAATAAGTTTGCCCCAATGAAAAACAAAGGCTGACAAGTCGCCTCACGACATCCAAGTGCATGTTACCAAGGTGATTTGCATGCACCTTCTGTTCCTGACACAGGCCGTTACGTTTCACATGTTTGCTATTCTAAATTCTTTTTCTCGGTGAGTCATACAGCTGATCATGTACTCAGTATTCAGTGAACTCTGTGGAACCTTTAAGGAAGTTCGTGTAAAATTATTCCGACATACGTGCCCCAACACCGAAGAGGTTAATAATATTATGCATATGTTAATTAACGAGACACTGGCAGGCATTAAATATATTTTATTAATTCAGGCGTCAACCATTCTCCAAATCTCGCTGACCTCTGTCTAACAAAACATATATACTCATAATAAATAGACATGGCAGCGCTCCAATGATCAAGTTAGATATTAGCGGATTACGGCTGATCAGCGATAATTAGAACACTCAGATGTACCTGCACTACTCTGGTGGCATTTATGGCTCGGTACAGGGGGGAGAAAATGTGGCGCAATGAATGTCGTACACGTGTAAGGTCAAATGTCAAGCGGTTCACTTAACGCCCAAGCATGTAATGTCAGTATTTAACAACTAAAACCACATCTATATCTTTAATTGCTTGTAAAAGAATGACATTATTATAATTCAGGTTAGGCCCCTGATTAAGGCGTTTGGTCGTACACTGCCTACTGAAGACAGTTTTTCCTGACACAGGTATATTAAATGTTTCTGGTTTTAGCTATGATAATACTAGGTATATTGTGCAGATTAAACAGTCACCCTTCCCTAGCCTAAATTAGTACTCTTAGATAATGTATTACCCAGTCGTAAAACAATCACGATCTTGTGTACCAAAGTGTTCCATGAATACTTTAGTATAAATTTTCTAGAATGTAACCAGTTCCACACCAAGCAGTAATCTGTATGAACCGGATCACAGCAGGTTTCGTTATGGTGGTCCCCCTTTCCCACAGGGCCACAGGCCCCTTCTATTTCACAGCAAAACAGTTTGTTCACATGACTCTTTTGTTTCCAGATATACCTCTATGACCTCATTCATGTAAACTTGATCAACTTCAGTGTTGTGGTAAAGCAATACCATCGCGATAAATACATGAAATCGATCCTTTTGTCTTCTGCAGATAAGAGCCAATGATTCTGACAACGGACTTTGTCAGTATGTGAGTGTAGAGAAGGTTACGTATGTTTTCATCCCACTTATACTTTGTCACAAATCCTTCACCTACGTGGATAGCAACCCTTGGTACATTTTCTTTAGCATAACGGGAACATGCTCTCAAATGTCTGAATAATTGTAAGATTACTCAACCTACTAATACTTCTTCACATACGACATTGAAGAATTAATCATTCCCTTTCTAAAGGTGTATCGAACGCATTCTTGTTAACAGATACGACCAACGCGGTTACAATCATAACTGAAAGGTTTATTCATGTTTAGACAGTTACCCTTTGAAATGCATAATTGGAGGGCATCAATTACTGACTTATCCAGTTTCATAGATAACGTTTCACAGCCAGGTCAACTGCTCGCAATGCAGCCTCCGACCAGCCCTGTAGTTTGTTCGGCCACCAAGAACCAGCCACATGAAAGACTTCATGGTTGAAGAATGGCTTCAGCATATAATCCCGAGTCTCCTCCATCCTGAATCCTGGCTTATACAAGTGCCATCCAGCTCTAAATGGGTATGTGTCCCACAGTTGCATCGCCCCTCCTACTGTTTCAGGAATGTAGGACTCTGGAATTCTGTAGATTCGGCTCAAATAGGAATGCAACCGATTCCTTACTTCAGTGGACACCCTCTGCGCCCCGGGGCAAACTTCCATATATGGTGTTACCTTGGCTCTGAAGTTCCCGCCAGAGGGCAACAGAACTCTCGCCATCACTATAGGTAGGCAGATGGATCCAGTAGCCATTAGTGCCCTTTCGCCAGTCGTAAGTAAACTTGCTTGGTAGACTTGATCTTGCATGGGTGATGTTCTCATTCACATTGTTGAAGTCTGTCCAAGGGTAAGGGTAGGCAAGGAAGACTTTTTTGTGCCTGGATGGGAATAACAGCGCCTATTCGTCGACGGAATTCACTGCTCTGATAAGGTGCAAAGTTCACCTTTTCCACACAGTCCTTCTGTATGGCTAAGACCACTTTTCTGGCACACACATACCTGTCTGGTAGCTGCAGTGAGAGAAGATTAATGTTGGTAATGTTATTCGTCTCAAGGGTGTGTGATAGACATTATATTACACAGTTTACACTGACCGTCTAGAGAATATCTACTAGAATATCTACTAGAAAATCATATAGAATAAGGTTTAGAGCCGGGAGGATCGGTGGGGGTCTGGTGGTCCATTCTCATGAAGCTCCAATTCGCTGCTAGAATTGCGTCTCTTGGGAACGCCAGATACCTATGATCTCGGGTTGAAACCCAGAGTAGGTTCGTCAACATCATACCCATGCTCGCTTATTTAAAAAAGTGCATGACTTCGGGTTTTCCATTCATATTAAGCTACCGCTTTAGTAAGACCCACGAGTACGGACATTGTGCCCGAAATGCTGCATGTCATGGATGCTACCCACGTTAGTGAAACTACTAGCCTGGATATTGCGAGGTCAAGGACGTATCTGTGATTCGAATCCCATGTGTTCCCATTTGTGGTCCTTAGCCGACTGGACAACGCTTACCAATTACTTAAAGCTTCCTTGACACAGCATGCATCTTACAGATACGGTGATTACCAAAAAAGGACAATGCTTCACCAGTGTAGGTTTGGTGTAACCAGCCACGGTCCTGGTTGGATGGAACCTCAGTCTGTAGTTGCCAGGACGTCCTCTCATGGACGTCAGCTGGTGGTTCAGGCGGACGGAATGTCTAGAACATGATATGAGTCTTGTTGAAAATATCATACTGACAGAATTGTTTTTTTTAAAAAATCTTTTCTAGTCTGCTTTTATTAGCATTATTCCAACTATGCTGACAGCAGTCTGTAACGGTGAACATCAGTTCACGCTATTGCAACACGACATGTTTTGACATGTCGATCTCCATAGTCGCCTCTTAAGACAAACAGGAGCTGCTGAAGACCAGTTCCGGGATCGTCACGGGATTGTCTCACAGAAAACCATTAAAGACTACTTACCTTGGACTGGCCCGTACAAAGGCGCTCAACAGCCGTTTCGGCACTTGGTCCAAGCCATTCTGCACAGTTTTCAGGTCGTCGGGAGCGTTTGAATCCGTGATAAAGGTCAGGAAATCGAGTCCAATTTGAGCGCCAAATCTGCCAGTTGCGTGATTCCATACCAAGGCATCTCGTAAATAGCTGTAGGCTTCTCTGCTGGCGTAGCGACTCAGGAAGTTGTCCATGCTGGCGATAAACGATAATGTAGTATGCTAGAACATGTAACCACGTAACAATACAATGTTAGACATGTTACACACTTACAGCATCAATAGGTTTTAGTCAGACAGTTCTTTCAGTGGCGAGAGGAACTGTGTGCAATGTACAATGATCAATATACAATGAGACAGTGATTTGAATTTGTGTTGCTACGATCCGATTCGTAAACAGTTAAAACAATGGGACGAACAGATGGCTTGAACTTGACAGTGGGGATTAAGTAAATTAAGTTTATCTTGATAAAATGGGTTACAGTGTATATTGATATACCTCATAGTGTACAGTGGGTACCCGTCTCTTGTGTATATTGTGTATATCTCCGACTCTGAGGGGTAGGCCAAACCGCTCATGTTGGTGTTTTCTGTATATAACTTCCTGAAATAAGACAATATTCGATGGGTTAAAATAAAAGCAACCTGTATTTGTTCTCTGAACAACGTTCAAATAGAATTCTTTTATAACTGTTTGATTGGCATTTTAGAAGTTCATGAATAATAAAATATATTCGGAAAGGTAAAATATTTTTGGATGACAGAGTCTTTATCATATCATGATATAGGTATATGTTCTTACACCGCTGTCAAGCACTCACCTGATGAAGGAGTAAGAATTAGCTCTGAAACATCTTATAGAGAATAGAAAGAAGTTGTTATCCATAAAAGCGTGTCCATCATTATATCATCACAATATAAGAAAATATATTACCTTCTTTATTACAGTTTCCCTATTTATATAATTACATTCCCTCACATAACATTCATAAGGTCACGTTTTAAGCAAATCTCATTCAAATGGTTTCTAACCTGTGAAGGTCCGGGTTAGAATTGATCTTCAGTAACCCATGCTTGTCGTAAAAGGAGACTAAAGGCATCGGGTGGTCAGGCTCGCTGACGTGGTTGACACTGCAGGTCATCGTATCCCAGTTGCGTAGATCGATGGTCATGCTGTTGATCACTGGATTGTCTGGTCCAGATTCGATTATTTACAGACCGCCGCCATATAGCTGGTATATCGCTGAGTGTGGCGTAAAACTAAACTCACTCACTCAGTCACTCAAATGGTTTCTTAAAGCCTATTACCACAGAAGGTCACCCGGGCTGAGTCTCTCGCTGGGCCTCAGGTTGTATGGAGTCTTTGGTCCTCCAAGTTCATCCGGCAGAAGATGACGCCCACGGAGATAGTATATAGTCTCGTTACGGTTGCCGTAGTTCAAAGGAAAGTCAACAATATTGAGTCCAAGCTGTCTTGCAGTACGCACAAGAAATGTGTGTTCCTTGGGATTCAACCTCATCGCCCCGAAGTCCACAGTCGTGCCAGGAACAGTTGGGATCTGAGCTGTGAACATGCGACCTCCAATCCTGTCAGAGTACTCAAATATGGCTAGTTTCAGTCCTCTGTTTCGTAGACGGTAGCCTGTGTATGTGCCGCCGATACCTGCACCGATGATCGCAACATCGAGACAGTCATCTTCATGGTTGTCTGCAAAAAAAGACAGACTCGATATATTGGGGATTCAATCTTGATAGTGGCATTGGCACATATTCTCGAACTGACTCAGCGGTATTGTTTTTGTATTGTGGTATGCCTGGCCCAACGGCGTTGCAGTTGAGGTATTCATGGACTGACATAGCTTATCAAGTGAGTGAGTGAGTTTAGCTTTACACTGCTTTTAGCAATATTCCAGCAATAACACGGCGGAAGACACCAGAAATGAGCTTCAGGCATTGTACCCATGTTGGGAATCGAACCCGGTTCTACAGCGTAACGAGCCAACGCTTTAACCACAAGGCTACCCCACCGCCCCCACGGCTGATCAACATGCTGTGGTGCAGTTACACCACACGTTTCCTGTGTACACTACAGATAAGCACAGGTTCTCCCTACGAGTATACGTAGAATCAATAGCCCAGTCGTCCATGTCCCCATAATCCGACGTGATGAGTTACGTCCCCTAGAAACGTATGATTATGGGTTCGAGTCCAAGCTTTGACCCATTATTTTTCTGGATATTTCAGCACCATACCCATGATTGTTGGTTTCAACACACGGAGGAACGTCCGTGATGTAACTAAAACATTGTTAACAGCGACCTTAAAGGACTCACTCACTCACTCTCTCACTCACTTCAGTTCACATGGACCAGCAGTCAGTGAGTGGACTCGACTTAAAGACTATGTTGATATTGATATGATACACAGAGACACAAATATCACGATCATAACATATGTACATTTTCAAAACTTACGTTTTAATTTCTTCTGCATACATTAACTCGAAGTAAATTATCTTTATAAAGGGCAATTCAATTGAAATACTGTTGGTATTAATACATCCGGTCTCTTGAAATAATTTAACCGGACTCAGGAAACAGATTCGTGTTGGATAATTAAAGAGGATGTCAGTTGAGGGCACTCACGCTCGGGCCATAACCCAGGCCAGGTACAGGTGACGTGTGGCAGGAGAACTGGAACAGACATATAGATATCACACAGTGTGCGTGGTTACGCTGGCAATGGACACTCGTGTACATGAAAGGTGTGACGTTAATAGTCTGTTTAATATGTCATTGCTTATAATATGTTCCAAACTTTTAAATCAAAATGAGTTCTTTTAAAACATTGCGTGTAGTAACAAAAACTCAAAACAGCAGACTGTTATTTACAACTGACACGTCCGTTGCTGTATATATTATGTGGTTGAGAAAAAGTTGAAAATACTCACAAATAAACAACAAAAAGGTCATCTTGTATGTGTGCCCTCTCACTAAAAGGATAACAGCAAATAATAAGTGAATGTAAATTATGCATGATGTATACACACGTGTAACTCCTGTGCAATGAATGTGTTTCTAATGCCACTTACAGAATGTGTGTCTCTGTACATTAAGCTGACCCTCACCTTAACATCCCTCACCGTTTGGTTGCTAGCGATCTGTTTCAGTATCACCTAGCAATGCCAGTCCGCAACACCAAAGGAAAATATCAAATTTAAGAAAAAATAACGATTTAAAAAATTGTGAAGAAATTAGTTGAATACGCTTGACGTGATCGTCAATAGTTACTTTCGGCTTAAGGGAATAAAATTGTAATCGAAAAAGAAACTTTTGTTTGTTTTTGGTCAGTCACATAGGGGCGAGTCTTTTTCAAGGTAACGTTTTATTTGACAGTCTCATGTTTAACATTCCGAGTTGCATGATCAGAAAACCCGTTTCGACTGTCACGTTCATCACCGGGTAAGTGACGCTCACATATGTCGTATGGAAGGTCGTTCTAACATGACCTGCTATGTACCCGGATCTTAGTGTAACATTAGGTAAAATTTAAATCTGATTTTTAACTAGATTAATATTTGCTCGTCACAAGGTAGCAGAATTTCCCCTCTGCCCTACCACCACACCCGTACGCCCGCCGGCCCACACGCCCCCGCGTATATTATCACTAACTGCAGTATTTCTGGAAAGACTTGTTTATGTATTAGGGGCAACGAATCAGCTTAATTGCTGCGTTGAACAGCAGCAGCAGCAGCAGTAGCAGCAGTAGCAGCAGCAGCAACAACACAAGCAGCAACTAAAACAATATAATTCCGTTTGGTATTTTATCAAAAGTAATTTTGCATTGAAGGTATTCATTCGTATAACTATTAAGAATTCAACTCCCCCAAACAATACGCATGCCCTCAAGCGCCGTCAAGCAATGAGGCTACCAAGTGAACACACGCGTTTACACATATGTAGACATATCTAGCTCTGAACGTATTATTTATACCACATGCTAGTATATTACTACATGCCCATACCACCCACACAGTATAAAACACGTCCATTGGAAGTCTATAATATAGCAAATAGTGGCTTGACTTTCCTAATAGCTCCCGCACCATCCTCGCTATACAACTAAAGCCTCTTTTACATGCACACATTTACTCCTGTAAGGACTCAATGTATGCCCCCAGCAAACATACAAACACAAAATCTTCTTCATCTTGGGGGTTCATGATGCTCTTGTCTCTGGGGATCCAATGGCTGCTATTGCTTGAGTAGCCTTATTTTTATACCGTCGGCACAACCGTGCTCCACTGCTGACATTCATCCGAAGAAAGTCTTGACAGAGCGCGCAAAACGTGTCAAAACCTTGATTAAAACGTGAAAAACGTGACGGAAGCCATCAGAACGCGACAGCCTGCCGGGAGGAAACGCAATGGCATCCGTAGTGGACTGCGGGCCCAGCCGTAGTGTGTCTTTGAGCTTCCGGGACTCAGCAGCCCGTGTATCCCAACGGCCCATCACGGATACCATGATAGACCGTGAGAAAACTTAGCAGGACCGAAGAAAACTTGACTTTGGAGGGTAAAGATGGCCAAACTCCCACGGCGCACTACGTTTCGGTGAAACTTGGCTGCAATGGCAACCTCGAACATAGCGTAACCCTAGCATAAATGAAGTAACATCCATGTCATGTAACATGGTCGTACAAAAAGAAATTGAAAAAAAGCAACAAAAACGGATTATGACAACATATCAATTCCAAGGAAACCTATGTCTTTTGATGAAACATTGATAAAACATAATCATAAGGGAATAATTAGGAAGTTTTTGAAGTGATTTAAATGTTTCATTTAGCAGCGTTCAACCAACTATAATCACTTTCAAAATGTAAACACAATAGGATTATCTCCATTCTACCATGACATATGCACCATAAATAAAACGCATTTTATATATGCACTCATTACCCTTGCGTAGTGGTTTGACAATACGCGCAGTGAACCGGCTCTCAGAAGTGGTTATTTTTTCACTTCTAATGTTTTAGTAACAGCCAATCAAAAACGAACATACTTAAATGTCATGGTAGAATGTTAATTATACACTCAGCTTATATGACACAGCTCTGAACTTATGATTTATACCACATGCTAGTATATCACTACATGCCCATACCACCCACAGTATAAAACACGTCCATTGGAAGTCTACAATATAGCAAATAGTGGCTTGACTCCTAATAGCTCCCGCACCATCCTCGCTATACAACTAAGCCTCTGTATCCATCGTGCAGTGTAAAGTTAATTATACACTCAGCTTATATGACACAGCTACAAACTATCAACTGAAAAAACATTCATCAATTCTTAGCTCATTCATCATGTAAATTACACTAAACCCAATAATTACAGTAGTAACTGCACTTCCACATTAGCGTATTTCAACATGTACAGATGAGTAAAGAGGCGATATATTATTTCTCAGCTGATTTAATCTTATGTTAGATTTTCAACTGAAAAGGTGTTGCGAAAACGATGTTAAATGTAAACAACGAACTGAACCATCACTTTGTCTGTACACAACTTCTATACGTTTATATGAATTTAAATAAATTATTTTAATAACTCTTTAAAAAATGACAAGAGATTGTTCGCTTAATTCAGGATGTTTATCGTACCCCACAATTGTTTTTTATCGGAAATGATTTTAAACATTTAAACATGGTAGAGGTCATGGCGTTGCAAATATATTTCTTTACCAAGCATTCATTGAATCAATATGTATATTTTACACATTACACAGCCTCAGCCTTTAACAAACTGTTGTAGAAATGAGCAATGGTTCACGTAATTAATTGCGTAAAATGTAAAAGAAAATAAACTCGGCTGATATTCATTGCTTCTCTGTTTACATTGTAACAACAACCTTCTCAATGGATATCACCCTAGAACTGAAGCAAGACCTTTACCTGAACCAGCGCTTCACCAGGTATCTTCTAATGCAGTTTAACCATCTAACTCAGAAAGATTATACAATGAAGAACATCAGTTCGCTTTCCTACCTGTCTCCATGAGGACATCCGGGTTACACAGTAATTGCTCCTGTGCACGGTGGCAGATGCCAGGTATATATACTACCGCGTGACACGATGCATGTCACCTGAGTTGAAGGATAATGTCATGTTTGTTCGTAATCATAGGATTGTCTGTAAAACAAATTCTTCCCTGAAACGCTCTCATCGACAAGAAAACCCGACATCCTTGTTCCTAGACTGACATCTAGTCTCTGAAAAGAATATATTTTGAAGAAATACAGTTGTTACGTTGACTTGAAACTGACTTTAGTGGTCTGTAAATGTTAATGTTTTCAGGGTCGGATGAAACATACCGGTGAAGATCCGAGTTAGAATTGATCTTCAGCAAGAGATAGGCACTTGAGAGAACATGTGTAATACTATGTAAGTCGGCGTTTGCAATAGCTTTCTTTTCCAAATCCAATTATTTACAAGCTGCAACGGGTTCTTACTAATGAAGATACCGGTTAGAATTGTTCTTCAGCAACCCATGTTTGTGGTTAGAGCGTCCGCCCGGAGAGCGGAAGGTCGTGGGTTCGATCCCCGACCGCGTCATACCAAAAGACGTTAACATATGGTACTTGTTGGTCTCTGCCTGGCGCTCGGCATTAATGGGTACAACAAGGACTGGTCGGCTCGGAGTCAGTATAATGTGTCTGAGTAGGGTATTCATGCTTCACTGCGGCGTGGTATCTCAGTGGGCTAGCACTATAAAACCAGTTTAAGTCTGGGCTAGTACAAGCAGCCACACATACACATACACACGCATGCACGTCGTCATATGAGCGAAATATTCTGAAGCACGACGTTAAACCCAATTTCACCTCACCTCACATCGTAAAAGGCCCACTGAAGGGATCGGGTGATCAGGCTCTTTGACTTAGATGATGCATTTAATCGATTCCCAATTGCGTAGGTCGATGCTCCCGATGTCTCTCACTGGATTCACCCACCCGTGAAGTGTGCCAATCGTTTGGGAATTCCTAATTGAATATACAACTGTTTGTGTTATCGAAAATATATGAAAACATCACATGCTAAACCATCGATTACTCTCATTGAGATTGATTTCTGTCTTGTGTCGCCATTTCATATTTTCGTTGATACAAGGCCCATTGTGTTTCAGTAAGCAGCGTGGGCAATCAAAAACAAGCTGACAGACGGCCTATTTTTATTTCTGTTTGGTTGTCCATCACTGTCATAATTAACCTACCTGTTCTAGGCATCCTGGCAGTCAGCCTTTGTTACGCAACACATAACACACAATAGACAGTATCCTTTTTGATTTATCCTTAATCCTGTCAAGCCTTGTTTCGTGTTGGAATAGAGAGTTTCACTTGAATATCTGTTCTGGTTTTCTTTAGAAACCCTGAATGTATTATTTGAAATAAACCTTTGTCCTAACCGATTGTGTTTAATTGTAATATTGAAGTTTGCATGTTAACTTTTAACTGTAAGCAGCAGTGCTGTTGATAGAATTCTTGGATATTTGAATAGAACTTGAACTGGTGAACCTCCATTTATTGCACTATTTATCTACTCCGTTATTTTCAGATTTGTGAAATATATCTGTATTTTACAAATATTGCCAGTCTTCAGCAAATTGTGAAGTTTAGGAAGGAGAGTTGCAATGATCAAACAGATCATATATCATAATTTTAAAAAGGGTTTGGTTTGTAATGTTACCATGCCAATGCCAAGTGACATAGGATCAGATTGACTGTTCCCTAGTTTAACTGATAGCGACCTGTCTTGCAGTTTGTTATGGAAGTTTCCGATATTAATCTTCAACTCGAGATTAGTTTTCTGAGGATTCATGTCGAAGGCTTTGCTGAAGTCCAGAAATACTGCGGCTTGGTATTGTCTCCGTATTTGAGCTACTTTAATTTCACTTTTCAGTCATAGCATAGTTGTGCTAGTGTTTTAAGTGTCATATCGTGTTTTACAACTCCTGCTTTGATCAGGTAGGCTTTTTAGCATCTCGTAAATGCTTGTGTCCAGACCAGGTGCAGTACGTACAGTTTCTATGTTGTATTGCGTGTCATAAGTATGTTACAGTGAATGGTATATTGTATAGAAGATGCTTGCTTTGCGGCTGTTTGATATCTCAGGCATAAGCATTGATTCTTTTGCTTTTTGAATTCTTTGCTGCAATTTTATGCTGCTGACAGATAAGAACTGCTCAGTTAGAGCAGTGGCCTTTGTCTGTCTGTATGTATGTTGGCTAACTTGACTTTTGTGGTAGGTTTTAGCTTACCCTTGATTGCGCGTACTGGGCTCCAAATTGTTTTAGCCTTTGTTTTGTCAGTTAGAGATTTGTAGAAAGTCGGCCATGGCTCTTTCGTCACTTTGATTAGGTGTCTTACATTTGTCCTGGCTGGAAGGACTTGGGCGAAGGCTGATTTATCCCTTTTCGACCTATTGGGGTTTTTCTTTCTCATTTTCCATGCTTATTTTTTCAATTTGGGCCAATCAGCCTTTGTAGCCTCACACGTGTGCAGAGGTTTGGACTCAAACTGCGGGTATAGGAAGGTGGTCGCTTCCCAAAGTATCATCATGGACTTGGTAATGTGAGGGACCTGTGAAGATCCGGGTTAGAATTGGTTTTCAGCAACCCATGCTTGTCGTACGAAGCGACTAACCGGATCGGGTGATCGGGCTCGCTGACACATGACATGGTTGACACATGTCACCGTATCCCAATTGTATATGCATCGCTGCTCATGCTGTTGTTCACTGGATTGTCTGGTCCAGACTCGATTATTTACAGACTACCGCCATATAGCTGAAATATAGCTGAATGTGGAGTAAAACTAAACTCACTCACTGGTAATGTGAGGCAAGATTGTCTTTGGTATTTGTGAGGTCAATTGGACTCCGTGTGCTGCGGGCATGGTCATATACCGTTTGGGACAGCAGTAGCGTCTTCAACCTTTATTGCCTTATTTTCACGATCCGTTCCTGTCTTCCCATAAAGAGCTGTGGGCATTAAAGTCACCAAGGATTATCCCATTTTGCCTACTAGTTGAGGAATTCCTTAACTCTTCCTTATGTGTTTCCTGGGTAACCCTGGTATACGTTAGATATGCGTAATTCACGGCAATTTGCCAGCTTTAAGGACATTATTTCAAGGTTTCCAACATTTCATTCGCTATTTATGGAGATACAGTTGGTCCTCATTGATATCCTCTCTTGTTGCCAGGCATACGTCTTGCTCTGTCTTTTCTGTATTGGCTGTATCCAGGTAGTGTGAATTTGGCTTTTTCGCTTTGTTTAGTCTCGAAAAAGCATGGCACGCGTCTGCATCAAATGTTTTGTGACGAGTGCATCTCGTCAATCACCGTGGTTCTCAAGTCTGTTTGCAGTCCTCTGTAATGAAACAGCTCTATGGTTGTTAAGATGGGCGCTTATTGAGGTTGCCAGCCCCGTTTTGGAACTGTTTCTTTGTACCTTTGGATTTCAGTATTATTGTAGCCAGTTTGAGTATGAAGGCTGCTTTGTACATTTCTATCTGGACGATCTATTTAGTATATTTCATGTTTATTCACCAGAAGAAAAATGTATGTATGTGTGCGTATGTGTGCGTGTGACGTTTCTCTTCTTTGCAGTAATTCATATTGATATGTAGACTTAGTCACTTTCAGAACACAGCTGTTAACCTACACATTTCTAGATTAACTTTGTGTTTCAATCAGGGAATCGACAGGTAAAAGTATTGATTTTTTAAGTATTGAATTGAGAACAAATTTATCCTTCAGTTGCTATTTTTATAACCTTTCTTTTTGTTTGAGATGTCAGTGTTAACTTACTGTATCAATTATATAACCGACACCTCAAGTGGTTATCCAAAAATAGTTATAAATTCCTATTTCAAAATGAGCAAATCACTGCGGTAAACGTGGTTTTGGTCATGAATGAAACAGGTTTAGCATCGTTTCATGTCGTGTCCTGTCGTCAATTGTACAATACTGTATTAGTTCAAATTGTAATAAATGTTCTCGAATAGTGGTGCTGATGTTGGATTCATTCCATCTCTGAGCTGGCGTACCTAAAGGTGCACAAGGTCAGTATAGTCAAGATCATGTCTGATGCCATCGGTCGAAAAAGGTAGAATAGTCAGGAGATAATAGCCCTAGTTGCACTTTAGAAGCTATACTAGAGACAAGTGCAGAATGCCAAGTTTTATGATTGCTCTATCTGTACTTTAGAGAGTGTATTATATGATTGCCCTAGTTGCACTTTAGAAGCTATACTAGAGACACGTGCAGAATGCCAAGTTATATGATTGCTCTATCTGTACTGTAGAAAGTGTATTATATGATTGCCCTAGTTGCACTTTAGAAGCTATACTAGAGACACGTGCAGAATGCCAAGTTATATGATTGCTCTATCTGTACTTTAGAAAGTGTATTATATGATTGCCCTAGTTGCACTTTAGAAGCTATACTAGAGACAAGTGCAGAATGCCAAGTTTTATGATTGCTCTATCTGTACTTTAGAGAGTGTATTATATGATTGCCCTAGTTGCACTTTAGAAGCTATACTAGATACAAATGCAGAATGCCAAGTTTTATGATTGCTCTATCTGTACTTTAGAAAGTGTATTATATGATTGCCCTAGTTGCACGTAAGAAGCTATACTAGAGACAAATGCAGAATGCCAAGCCTCAAATCCCATGTATGATTTTTTTTCACAGCAGTATAATGTGTCTGTTTGTCATCCAACAAGGAAACAGATCCATGTCCTTGTGCGTCTGCCACTTAATGTTAGAAACGCATGAATACATACAAGAAAACAACAAACCACAAAAAAACATTACGTTACTTGGTAGAGGTAATTAGGATTACGAATACCAATTATGAACATACATTACCAATAATAAACTTAGATGGTGCACATTACTCCGGCACAATGCATGCTCGAATCTCAGAAGTAAATCTTGAAAAATGTTTTGGTATATATAGGAGTGTAATACAGATGTGATTCCGAGATATGTTGGGA